TTGATGTAGCCTCGGACCTCGTCCTCCCATTCCATCGCCTGGAGGATGGTGAAGTCAAGCACCCTTGACGGTTGGAATACGAACAACTCTAGGAATTCCAGCCTCTCTTGATGTCGCGCGGTCATCTCGAGCTGCGCGGGGACCCTCTGCATCTTTCTTGATGACTCGGCCATATCTCAGAATTGGGGAATCTCAGACACACTCACAGACAAAGTATGCAGAGGAAGGGAGAAGAAATCTGTGCAAAATGAGGGGGGGCAAAGTCTACGTCTTCTCAGACTTCTTCTAATCTAGAAAGATGTCATTCCTCAATTCAAATAGGAGATTATTTGAAACTTCGAAAAGGAGGCACGCGAAAAAAAAGGGAAATTGAAGCAAAAAAAAAAGAGAGAAAAAGAATTTGCTTCAAAAGAACATAGTTTGGGAAGCTAAAGAAAACTCCGCTGATGAATGAGAAATCATGAACCTAGGAAGTTTAAAAAAAAAAAATTGATGATAAGCGCCCTTACACCTCCAATTCGTTATCAAATCACTCTAAACTGCATCTTTCTTCTCTGACTCATCAACCTCGTCAATAAAGAAATTTTTTTTGGCAATCACCAAAATAGTGGTGAACCCGAAGATCCTATTGACGGTTGTCGCCACCTGCCCGAAACGGGCTTTCGGCATTCGCGAAGGATGGTTGGACTCGTTTATTTGTTTAAAAATGTGGATTGCTAGAATGACTTATTCTCAAACTGAGACCTCGTCAAACGAGCAATTTTATTAAAAGGCTCACCAATCCATGTTAATCCCAAGCGGGACCCTCCATCATGCGTTGCCTTGGCGGTTGTGGACACTGAGTACTAATATGACCTTTGCCATTACAATTGAAACATGTTATTTCCTTGTCAGGACAGTTATAGTGCTCATGCCCACGTAGCCCACATTTCTTGCATCGACTAGTAGGGGTAGAAACAGAGCCTCCTACACTAGCAGCACCACTTACGAAAGAATTTCCAGCAACAGATCTACTCTTAGCATGATTTCCTTGAATCTTGGCAGGAGTAGAGTAAGGCTTACTCTTACCTGGAGCACTAGAACTTGCAGCACGCATAGGACCTCCAACTACCTTGTAAAAAAATAGCACGTGCACGGTTGTCACGGTCATAGATTCTACTCTTGTTGACAAGCGTCGGGTAGTGATAAATCTCTTGATAATTGATTGATGTCTTTATCTCAGGACGAAGGCCATTCACGAACTTAATGCACTTAGCCCTTTCATCACCTTCACCATGGTAATGAGTACAATAACGAACCAAAGCATCAAATTTTGCAACATACTCTGCCACTGTATCATTCCCTTGCTTCAGCTCGAGAAATTCAACTTCCTTATGACTCCTCACATCATTTGGGAAATACTTCTCAAGGAAGACCCTCTTGAAGTTGTCCCAGTTCAATTGCACTCCTCCATCAATCATTCTTTGAAGTGCTCCTTCCCACCAAAAATGGGCATCAGCAGTCAACATGAAGGTAGCCAACCTCACCTTCTGAGTAAGAGGACACTCCATGGCATTGAAAATCTTCTCGATCTCCATTAGCCAATTCATCGCAACATCGGGGTCATATCCTCCTTTGAAACTAGGTGGATGATTTTGTTGATATTGCTCCAACCAGTTAGGAGCGACTTCAGCCCTATTGTTGTTACTCATAGCTTGTGCCAACGCTTGGAGGGCATCAGCAATCGCACGATCATTTCTACCAGCCATAATCTAAGAAAATAGTACACACAATTAAATAAACAACAGACATAATCAATCATCACGCTAGCATAAATTTCACAATTAATTCATTCCATCATTCATCTATCAAACAAGCATAGTAGACTCATAACTAACGGCCAATTGGATTGACCTGCTCTGATACCACTAAATGTAACACCCTCTACCCTGCATATCATAACACATAATAATAAAATTTGAATAATATAACACTTTATAATTAAAATATTAAACGTGTTCAGATAGAGAGTACCACATGCATAACTTAACAAAATCAGCAAAAATTTTTAAAAAATAAAAGTAAAGTTTCCAAAAATAATTTAATAAGTGAACATCCTAATCTAATCCTACCTATGCCCCGATGTCACATGTTCTATCAGAGCAAAGCCCAACTTTGAAGCCTAAGCTTCATCGCCTACATTCTCAACCTCATGCTAATAATCACCTGTATAACAGTCAAAGGAAAACAACAAAAAGAAAAAGAAGTGAGAAACATGTCACTCTGGCTCATAGTGTAGAAATACACACTGGATAGTCAAACACAAACAAGACAGATATAGCATAGATATATTAATAACAATATTACATCTCACTCATCCAAGACATAAAAATATCAATTTATTATATAACATTGAAAATGCACATGTATGGACACGGACTACATATTATCATGCATGTGGCGCCAGTAAAACATCACATGGCATATTGCCGCTAGCAATACACGAAGAGTAGTCTAGGAGTACATGCCGGGTCACACCCTCTGCGCACTCTCACTAGAAGGATATACT